GTGCTAAATTGTCCCGTAGTGCCCAGGGATGTGCGGGTTAGGGTGGATTGGCCGTGCTAAATTGCCCCGTAGTGCCCAGGGATGTGCGGGTTAGGGTGGGTTGTCCGTGCTAAATTGCCCCGTAGTGCCCAGGGATGTGTAAACTATGGATGGATTCAGTCTGGTGAATGCGGGGACGGGATGTGACGGGTCGGGTCTGGGTGGGATGTTCTTCGGTGGGCTGGTGCAGGGCTCGATGGGCCAAGTGGCCTCTGTGTCCACACTGTAGGGAACCGGATGCCCCCTCGATTCGGGGCCGGCAAATGGGACTAGTTCAGGGTGCTGGTTGGCACAGGCGAGAAGGGCTGAAGGGCCTGTTTGCATGCTGTGTGATGCTATGGCTTTCCTCTGTCCCTCCGGCCGCAGGCTGCAAGATCAAAGCGCTGCGAGCGAAGACCAACACGTACATCAAGACGCCAGTGCGAGGGGAGGAGCCCGTCTTCGTGGTGACTGGTCGGCGTGAAGACGTGGCCATGGCGCGCCGGGAGATCATCTCTGCCGCCGAGCACTTCTCCCTGATCCGCGCCTCCCGCAACAAGGACGGCCCGGCCCCCGGGGCTGTCCCCGTGCCCCCCAACCTGCCGGGCCAGACCACCATCCAGGTGCGGGTCCCCTATCGTGTGGTGGGGCTGGTGGTCGGGCCCAAGGGGGCGACCATCAAACGCATCCAGCAGCAGACCCACACCTACATCGTGACGCCAAGCCGCGACAAGGAGCCCGTCTTCGAGGTGACGGGCATGCCCGCCAACGTGGACCGCGCCAGGGAGGAGATCGAGGCCCACATCGCTGTCAGGACGGGGGGCCTGGTGGAGCTCAACGACGAGAACGACTTCCACTGCAACGGGGTGGAGGCAGGCTACGGGGGCCGGGCACCCAAGCCCTGGCCCAAGCTGGCCCTGCCGGCTGGCCGCAAGCCCCTGGCCAGCTTCCGAGGCAACGGCCCCGACCCCTTCTACGGCAACGCCAAACCCGCCGACCTCCACCACCACCAGCACCACGCCTGCTACGGCAACGGTGCCGCCTACGGGGAGGCCTACTTTGGTGCCGAGGGGCGGGAGGGCCCACCCGACGCCCACCGCTGGCCCCGCCCCACCCCCCCCCTCCCCCCGCCCCCCGGCGGCGGCGGCGGCCCCACCCCCCCCGCCGCCGCCGCGCCACGCTGCCAGCCGGGAGTGCCAGGTCTGCTTCGAGAGTGAGGTGACAGCCGCCCTGGTCCCCTGTGGGCACAACCTCTTCTGCATGGAGTGCGCCAACCGTATCTGCCAACGCAGTAACCCCCATTGCCCGGCCTGCCTCAGCACCGTCACCCAGGCCATTCGCAT